TGTATCCCCCAGAGCCTGCTTGGCTCTATGAATGACAGGACTGAGCATAGGTGAGCGGTGGAGGCTGAGGAAAGACAGGTGAATACAGGTCATACAGCAGCAAAAAGGATTCGTGTGTGTTTGCTCAGTAGGTACAGACTAGAGTGGCCGTGGAGGTCAGTCGGAGATGGCCCCTGCCTCTCATTGCCTTCCCTTTGGTGTGCACCCAGCACTGACCAGAGCTCTGTTTCCACATAAGCTCTCCTGCTTCTCACCGTCTTGTTTCTGGTGAGAAAAGTCTTGCTTTCAACTCGTCCTCCATATTGCAGTCGTTATCTATGAACTCCTTTCCTCACAAAGCAGATGCTTCAGAAATATAACCTGGTAAGACAAGATGGAGTTTACTTTTTGCTGATGGGGCTATTATTGTGAGGATTAAATAGTAATATATGTTAAAAACACACAAAAATATATATGTACTTATATACATATATATAAAAATATATGGGCACATGTGTTTGGTAATGGTCTTGCCCTTGGGGTTGATGTCAGGGGAGGGGGAGGCACCCTCTGCGTACTCTATAGACTGTAACATCTATCTCTTGGCAAAGAGTACCTGTTCACTTATCTAAATAAGGCAAAAAGGAGTTTGCTGCTAGGCCTTTATCTCTGGATCCCCCTTTCAAGGAGACATTGGAAGGGAACATCTGACAATTTTAAAATACAAAGTTGTAGCACTTTGTGCCACATTTATTCATTCAGTGAGCCTTTTTGAGTGCCTCATCTGTGCCAGGCATTCTGCCAGGGCCTGGGGTTGCCAGAGGGACCAGGAAGCAGCCCCTGTGATCCCAGTTCAAGGTGCAGGCAGCACCTGCAGCAGTGGGTGGCAGGGCAGAGTTGTTTTTAAGTCTGTTTTCTCACAGGCTGACAAAGTCTCGCACAGTGCGGAAAAGCTGATTGTGATTCCTTCTCCTCAGAGAAGCCGTGTGGAGACCCGCCTTCGTTCCCCCACACCATCCTGCAGGGCCGCACTGGCTTGGAGATGGGGGATGAGGTGCTGTACGTGTGTGCCCCCGGCCACATCACAGGCCATCGGGAAACCGCCTTCACCTTGCTCTGTAACAGCTGCGGGGAGTGGTACGGCCTGGTGCAGGCCTGCGGGAAAGGTAAGCGCCCTGGGGCTGGGCCACCGCCACATGCCCACGCGGTGCTGGCAGAGGGCTCCACTTCTGCTGGCTGCATGTGGTGGGCTTTCTTCACCAAGGTGCCTTTGAAAAGAGGCTTTCAGGCCTCTCTGCTGAGCTCTGGACCAGGCAGCGTCTCCACTTGGGGGTTCCTGCAGCGTGGCAAATGCAGCGCATTCACAACTGCACTCTTCATCTTCCCTGCTGGGAGCGCAGAGCTAACAAATCTCCCCTTCTTCTCTAAGGACAGAGTTGACGTTGGGTTAGCTTTCTAGCATGTTTCCCTGGAAACCTGGTCAAGATGGAATGTCAGCTGTGGTACCAAGCAGTGTTGCTTCTGGTAAAAACGACCATGGTTGGTAAACTGGGCTGGGAGGACTGTAATGAACACGTGATAAGGAGCCCAGCTCTGAGCTGCCCCAAGGGGGTGATTCTTGTGTCTGGGCATGACCTCTGCAGGGAACCCGAGAACTATTCTGTGGGTTGTAACAAGAGATATGGGCTGTGGGACACGGGGCTTCTAAACACCTTGGATCCACACCCACACATACAAGTCCTCTTCCCTTGCACCTGAGCAATCGTGGGGGTGGCGCAAGGAGGCGAACTCCAGGACAGCCGTGTGGCTGCTGCAAGGGCTGCCTGTGCCCACTGATGAATTGCCCACCGCTGCCCAGCCGCCTTGCTCTGCTCCCTGGCCTGAAGCCTTCTGAGTGCCAGGTATGTCCTGTGGTGTCATGCAAGTCTGAATATTTAGTTGAGACTAAAAGTAGTCCTGGTGGACACTGAGTTCCCAAAACCCGATCTGATTTCCCCAGATGTCCCCATTCCATCAACATCGCATTCCTAGGGGTCCCGTGTTTCTGTAGTTCCCCCTCCACCCAGCCCTTTGGGAATTTTCTCAGCAGTAGAAATCACTCTCTCCAGCTACAGCCAGGCCTGCCCTCCCCTTCCCAACAGGGACACAGCACCCATCAGGGGGCTTGCACAGCCCCACGGCCAGCCTAGGCTCATGACTACAGCACTTTGGACCTCATGCCAGACCCTGAATTGTTCTCCGACCTCACAGGGCGCCTCTTAACCCCAAGCTTCTTTCACTGGAACCCCTTCCCTAATTCCCCATAACATCTGGGTACCAAAGGGAGGCTGATTCTATGGAGGGAAATAACTCTAGCACCATGATGTTACTGGATTTATAGGACAGTTTGTCCTGGAACGTCCTGCAGATCCCATGAGGGAACTACGATGAGACCTAGGGCACTGTCACATCTGCCAGATTCATCCACGTTGTTGCCTGAAGCTGTGGTTTGTGTCTTCATTGTTATTTACTGTCCATAGTGTGAATACACCACTATTTATTTATCTAATCCACTGTTTGTAGACATTTGGCTTGTTCTCATTTTGTGACTGTCACAAACTATGCTGCCATGATTGTTCTCATCCACGTCACTTGGTTCACACGTGAACAAAGTTCCCTTGATTTCTAGGAGTGGCATTGCCGCCCACGGGTATGTGTGTGTTAGCTTTAGTGGATGCTGCCAAAGAGTTTCTAAAGTATGTGACCGGTCTACTCTCCCATCAGCTGTGTACGAGAGTGCTTGACGTTCTGCATCTTAACTAACCTTTCAGATTGCCATTCTGGTGACTGCGCTGTCGTGACTCGTAGTCGTAATATTTATTTCTCTAATAATAGTGAGGTTCAGCACTTATCACATGCTAATCGGGCATTAGAATTTCCTCCTGTAAAATGCCTGTTCCGGTATTTTGCCCTTTTTTCCTAATTGATTTGATTATTTACATATTATAGAATTTTGTGCATGAAATATTAATAATTAATATGTTGCAAATATTTCCTCCCATTCTGTGGCTTATCGTTTTATTCTTGGAGTGTCTTTTAATGAATAGTTTTTTGCTGTGGTTGTCTGTTTCACTATTTTTCAAACTGTGTGGGCTATTACAAATTTTTTTCTAGTCATTAGCAGATTGATAGTTTGGCAAAACACAATAAAATGATATTTTTATAAAATAAAAATTAATACAAAAATAAAATAGATTCCAAATATATGCACAATTTTTTGTGAAATTAAATAGATGTAAAATTCCCCATTCCCATGTCAAATTGTTACAAAAGCTTCTACAAACTTTCTCTCAGTGTATCTCACCTGCCTTGTTATATACTAGTAATAAAAAGTTACAGACTGGGGCAAGTGTTAGAAGCACAATTTAAGCAATCTTCTAGAATGTTCCTCATCTTTCCTCTGTTGCTGTTGCTTTGTGCCAGGCAGGGGCTGCTTGACAATTCTGATAATTCACCTGCCTAAGAAAATCAGGCAAAAGGACTGGGCTTCCTGTTTGTTGAATGTGTTGCTTTGCAGCAGACCTGTACTTACCCTGAGGTCTTTAATGCTCTTATGACAGGCCGAAGTTGTACCCTCCCATGAGCCACAGCCGCCAACCAAATGGGTTGTTTACTGGCCCCAGTAGAATGAGAACTAAATGTAGTTTTTGTGGGTCTGAAATGGTGTTTATTTTCTCACTGCAATGCAGAGTTGTTAGAGCTTTCAGCTGCTGGGCAGGAATTCTGGTGTCTATGCTTGGCTGGGTATATGGACTGTTACAGTTTTCATTACTATCTGGATTTAATATTTAAATTATCTGTGTCAGTATAAGAAATCTGTGTGTGTGTGTTACAAGAATATCTTCACTAGATATTTCACTCCATTTTGCATTTATTTTTTTTCCCAACGAACATCAACTTTTTTCATTAGGCAATTGCTTCATATTGGAGAAAAGTCATCTTTGGGGAGTGGGTCAGACAAGGCTCTTTGAGCTGGACCCATCTGGGTTTGGATAGTAACTCTTCCCTTGTATTAGCTGGTTGAGTGTTCATCCATTCACTCATTTCACGTCATCTGGCAGGATCCTAGCTGCTGCATATATAAGGTTACATAAAACACTGTTCCAACCCTAAAGGAAACTCTGGTGTACCGGGTGCCTGAAAAGACCCAGAAGCGGTAGATGACTAGGTAGAAGGGAAAGCTGGAAAGCGAGGTGTGGCAGAAGGTGACATTTTAAAGGAAGTGTGTTTCCAGATGGAAGAAGTGCTCCATGAACTCAAGGGCTGCAGAATCAAGTAAATGAAAGCTAAGAAGCGTGCATTGGCTTCACAGTCTGAAGGGGGTTCTGGCGGCCTTGTATTTTCAGTGTGAACCTGGGGAGTGGGTGATAAACCAAGGCCAGCCCACAGCGCGTACCGGAAGGGGATAGGGTGAGGAAGAGGGCTGAGGGCAGGCAACTCATTCTCGAATTTCTGCTGTTCATGAAGAGGAATTGGGAAGACACAAAGGGTAGAGCTGGAAGAAGATCAGGGGTCCAAAGAGGTGTGGTGTTTGTTTTGTTTGCTTGCTTTTGTTATTTTTAAGATTTATTTTTAAGAGATTTGAACTCATGTAAATGATAGAAAGAATTAGAAGAGGAGACTGAACAATTTTCTTGACTTTCCTGAGCCTTAATTTGCTAATATGAAAAAATAGGTGCTAATTACACATAGAGTTGCCTCATGGGGTTCCCTGCAAGTGTATCACTTAGAACAGGACATATAATATGGTATGGGGCCAAGAACTGTTCATTCTTTCTTTTTCACCTATGTGCTGATTAAGGAGAGTATCCAGGTCCTTTCACTTGAGGTATCTAAAGGGCTTTGTGCGTGACGCTGGCTTTTCACTTCCTCGTGTGTTGACTCTAGCTGCTGTTACAGCAAATAATTAAGAGCATACTGTGACTTCAACCGTCTGTTACTTGGTTGAGAAGTTAGTTTCTGCCAGCAGGCTTCTCAGGTTCTAGAGACCAGCAGCTGGTCCTTCCAGAAAGGCGTGGCCCATGTGGCTTTTGGACTTGATGGAGACCCAAGCAGCTGGTAACTTTCTAACATGTGGTTCCCAGGCAGTCCATACCTGTGGTCTCAGCTGCCTCACTCCTCCCTCCAGGAGGCCCTTACTGCCTCCAGCCTAAGCTTGTCTCCTCTCTGCTCAGCCCTGCCACTAACCACCTCCCCCCGCAACCAGGTCCTCCAAACATTGTGGCCCACCCAGAACATTTCCTTGTATTTCCTTGTGTGCTGCTGGCTCTGACTCCAAATCCTCTGGCAAAACCTGAGCATAGATGCAGCTCCAGGAGCTCCTCTGCTGAGATCACAATAGCATCCCTGCCCCTCATCCCCTTATGACCTCTGCAGGGCCCAGAGGGCCTCAAGGGTCAGATACCTTGGAGGTCAAGACTTAAAAGAACTTGGGGCTCTGAGGAGTTTGATCTCAGAGATTCTGGGAGCTTAGGAGCTCAGGGCTACTATTTCACTCAAGTTTGGCATTGTATAGGCATTTGAGGACAGGCTGGATGTCTTGGGTCAGATTCTCTAAAAGCAGACCCTATTCAGATGTCCATGGTTTACTGAGGGAGAAAGGGCATTCGGGACAGGATGGGTTAGCGGAAGGAGTTAAGATTTTAGCCTCAGCTGAATTGGATTCCTGCTTTGCCTGGCCCTGAGGGGATCTGTGGAGCATGAATTGCACAACCGGGTTGGTCCCCTTTTGAAGCAAGTGGACCAGCCTTGAGTGCCTCCGTTTCAGCTTGTCACAGGCTGCAGGCTGCTGGGCACAGGGCATGTAGCCTATAATCTCCCAAGCCAGGCCCCCATGCCACCAAGGGTGCTTCTGCAGAGAAGGGTAGCTGTGAACTCCTGGCTGCCAACACTTACAGCAGCTGGGGCATGGGTACCTGGCCTGGGAAAGGGGATGTAGGTGGGACACCAGCAGATCTATTCCAATGGAGTTATTTATTGACAGCATCAGTTCTATGGAGTAGTGGTTTCCACGTTAACTAACTCTTGTGATTAAAAGAAAAACCCATTAGTGAAGTGGGGACTGCCTGAATGAGCTTGCTGAAATTTAAAATTTGTGACGAGGAGCAGGAATGATCCCCCAGGGACA